TGAGATGGAATAAAGCCATGCGTTCAGAGATTCGTTTCAACCTTGACTCTGATCTCTCAAGGCTACTTAGACCTCTCCATGGAAAGCACACTGGCTTAGGGAAGGTCAGTTTGAGGGCCGGTTATCTCCCTATGTGTTGCCAGGGAATGAGACCGGATCCTGGAGGAAAGGGGAGGCCTTGGTGCAGGGGGCAGGACTTGGAAGAGCAAGGCCAAGTGGGGAGGGGCAGCGGAGTTAATTACTGGGAAGCCTGCAGGCAAAGCAGTTTTGGGAAGAGGGGGTGAAAGCAGTGTAGCAATATAAGGTAAACACTTTGCAATGCCAGGGGCTTCCCCACTGCCCAATACCAACTTTCTCTCAACTGCTGCTTAGAAGCCTGATATTTACAGGGTGACTAACCAAGGAGCTCCATCTCTATTCTTACTGAAAGAACTTCTTGTCAAATGTATGCTAATCTTAAGAACCTTATCAGATAAATCCTGTGCTATGTTGCTTGAAAGACAATCCATGGAAGAATTATTCATACATTAATCATTTGGCTACACTTAATAAGCTTGTACTTCAAAAATAAAAGGGCTACTTTTAGTTCTTAAACCCAAGTAAAGCTTTATTTAAGTGGATAAGTCAATTTTACTTGTGGGGGGTATGCTATCTCCTTTCCCTGTCTGATTCTATGGAGATTTTTTTAAAAACTACAGATCCAATTGTAATTTCTGTGTCATGATAAAATAGTTGGATCTGAGGCAATGATATTTGCAGAGTTTAAAACATGATCGACCTTAAGGATCCCATCAGATAACCATCTATGAGTTTAATTTGAAAAAATCCCATTTCAAACGTAGGAGAAAAATTCAAACAAGCAAGTCACTTATCTCTGACTCAACTTGCAAGATCATCAGTTTCTTTGAAGCATCTTTGTAAAGCAAGTGAGCTGGGCTTTCTGTTCATAAGCTTGTCAATGCACAGCCGCTGACCAGGCTTGGGAAGGCAGTGCTACAGTTAAAGTTTGTCAGACGCTCTCTTGTTCTTAAAGTTCTCCCAACTCTTACAGTTTCATGTCAAGTTGTAAAGTCTTTGACCTATGTATACTTAGACACTGTGTCTGTTTACCTGCCCAGTAGAGAGGTCAAGGCAAGTAGTCAAATTTTCACCCAGATGTTTCTTTCAAAGCCTGTTCATGGCTCACCTAGTGTGTGTGTGTGTGTACACACACACGCACGCGTGAGAATGTGTGTTTGTGTGTCTGTCCCCACACCTGTTTGTATATCTATATCTATTTGCCTTGGTGTTTTTATGACTGTTCTAGTGTTAAACATTTTCTTCTTCATCCTTCCAAGCATCAGTGACTTCACTGTGAACTTCTGCCATCATGAGAATACAGTGAATACCAACACCAACGGAGCCCTGTCCTTCTTAGGGGAGGTTTATTGTTTATTGAATGCTTGGTGTATGTCAAGAGTATCACTTTGAATTTTCACAGCAGTTTCATGAAATTGATATTGTTAACTCAGTTTACAAATGAGAAACTGTCCCAGGCCATTCATACAGCTAGTAAGGCAGAGGCAAGGTAGAGTTTGAAGTGGTAAATAACTGGCTCCAGGTCCTAGGATTTGAATCAGGCCATTTTGAATTTTTAAGATTAAATAGTACATAAGGAATATACAGTGACTAGGGACATCAAAACAGAAACATCTCCAGGTAGAGAGAGTGCAGGAGCCAGAGCCGGCAGACTCTGCCTTGCTTCCCAACCAGTTTCTCCTTCTCCAAGGCCTCTGCTTGGAACTCCTTTCTGTGACTGGTTCTTTTTCTTTCATTCAGGGCTCATCTATTGTTACTTACTCAGAAAGGCCTTTCCAGGCCTTCCTAATTTACCTCAACAAATATCTTCTATCGTTCTACTCTGTTTTATATTTTTTGGAGTGCTTGCGCCTTGGATATTACTTTCCTTATTTTATTGTTTGTGTTGGTCAGACTCCCTCAACACAAATGTTGGTGCTAGGAAAGCCAGGTCTTATCTAATTTATTATGTCCTCAGCCCTGGTACACTGGAAACCCTCAGAGGATGCATTTCAAATGAATGAACATTTATTTCCCTGATCTGGAAAAATGAACTAAAATTACCAGTATTATTTATTCTTTACTTAATGTTTGCTGCCTCCATGGGTATTATCCTGTTAAGGATAGGGACCCCTTTTGTCTTGTTCATCACTATCCCTGACACTGCTCAGTGCCAGCGACACAAGACCCTCTATAAACATCAAATGAATGTTCGTGTGAATTGAATGATCCTGCTTCACTGTCATTTGACTTTGTTATGCAGGTAAACAATTCGGAGTATGAATCGTTCTGTACTAGAGAGATTCACTGACCTGTGGTTCTCGATTGTGACTCTACATTGGCCAATACTGGGAAGTTTTAATAACACTGATGCCAGTATTCTACCCTCAAGAGATTCTAATTTCATTGCTCTTGGTTGTGGGTTTGGCTCCAACCTTTTAAAACTTCCCACACTTCTTAAGTATAGCCAGGTTAAAAATTGCCATTATATGCTTTTAGAACTCTTTTCTTGCTTTGGTCCTGGAACTCTTGAAAGAGCCACAGTAAGAGAGGAGGGATATAATTTATGGACATTGCACAGTTCCTGACACAGATTAAAAGGTACCATTACATGTTCACATCTGATAGTAAAATCTCAGGAATCTACTGTCTTATTTAAATATTCCCTATATGTTGGTGACTATTAAAAATCTACATCTGCCCTTGCATACCCTCATAGACCTGTCCCCTGGTACCTCACAATAGCTTCTTATCCTCCTGCAGGGGTCCTTTTCTGAAACTGCTGGACATGTTCCAGCATCAAGCTGTCCTACCGTGGCTGTGGCCTCCTCCTTTCCATCTAGAGGCATGGAGCTCCCAATGTGTCTTCACTGTTGACTTCGTTGCCCTTCCCCTGACCACTGCCCATGTAGAGTCTTCATCATTCCTACATGAGTTGTTGGCATTAGCCAGTGTGATCTTCCCCATAACCCCCTTTTTCCCCAAGGAAACAGAAACACTAGTTGCCTACCTGGGTACTGACTGCATTCTGTCCATCCCTTCTAGGTCTTCCCTAGCATTTACAGTCAAATCCAGACACTTAGGCAGAACCTTCAAGACTTCATGATCTGGTCTTGAGCTGTGCAGCTCAGCTTTTCCACTTAAGCGACATGCTATGTGGCTTGCATTGTGCTAAGCCTTGGGAGGATGCTTCCCTGCTTTTTTTGCATCTGCTATAGTAGCATTCTCTTGGGAGGCCTTCCCCTGCAAATTTCCACCTTTTAAAATGCTTCATGTCTGTGGTTGCCCATTCTGAGATTCTTCTGGGGTTCTTTTGCCAGAATTAAAAGCTAGTCTTTGCAGTACAAGGGTCACTTTTCATGGGTTCAAGTTCTACTCTTGTCTTATTGAAGTCCATAGTTGGGCTGGAGCTTGTACTTAGGTATCTTTGTTTCTTTTAAGTGTCTTATTTGGAACAGGCACTCAGACGTTTGTTGAGGAAAAGATAGGAAAGGGAGGTATTAACTTCCTTTGTTATAAAGCATAAATTAAAGAGTGAATAGCTTCCAGAAAGGCATTTTAGTGCATTTTCACTGAATCTTGAAATCTAGATTGATCTTGCAGGTACAGAGAAGAAAAAGGCTGCCAAAGATTGCCCTTCATGTCATCTTGGAAATAGACTTGGTCAACAATATGACCTTTGCAAATGAGAGTTTTTGTAGAGTGCTACTGCTAACCATCCCACCCCACTGCAAGATTCTTTGAAATGATACAGGCCTATCTGTTAACTAGGAAGGTGTTGATAGCTTAAAAAGGAGAGACTTTCCAGCTCAGGGAATGGGGTGTGTGCAGATAGGTTGGGGAATCCTAATTGGCTTACATCACTGGTGGTCTGCTGGAAGGGTAGGAAATTTGGTTTCTTTTTTTAAATAACAATGATTAACACTGAGCAAGTGCTGACAGTGTGCCAGGTACTGGGCAGAACCAGGAAGGGCCCTCATGGAACTCATAACCCTATTGTTCTGCACCCACTGTGAGTCAGCCTCTCCTATGGTGGTCCCAAGTGGACATGGAGCAGGCAAGTGTCAGAATGACCAGGTTTGGCAAAGAACAGAGGGAAGGGGTAGAATTACATTTCTTAAGTAAAAGGCCCTTCACCCACCCAGTATTTCTTTATTGCATGCCAAAGTAGTTTTTTTTTTTTTTTTGATTGACTTTTTTGGTACTGAGGATTGAACTTCCAGGGCCTTTTCACTGGGCTATATCTCCAACCCTTTTTACTTTTTTTATTCTGAGACAGGATCTCACTAATTTGCCAAGTTGCCCAAGCATGGCTTGAACTTTAAATCCTCTTCTAAAATCTCTCAGAGTACTGGGATTACCTGTGTGCCATCATACCCAATTTGTGTGTATGTGTGTCTGTGATATAATGTGTTTGTTTTACACTCTCAGCTGTGTTTATCTTAGCACCACTTCTGTCAGCTTGTGGAGGTGGTCTTAAAGCTGTTTCTCAAGTTCCAGTTTTGATTAAACTGACTGCACTAGGGCCAGAAAGTGGTACTCCTAACCAAAGCTCTTCCCTGCAGCAGGAATGATGGTCAGAGAGGAGCAGGGGCTACAGGGCTACGGGGCAGTGCAGCGAAGAGCTGTTGTTGCTGGTCTTGGGGGAGGGCAGCTCTAGGGGATGGGAGCACAGGGCCGAGCTGTCCTGCTGTCTTGTGCAGGCCACTCTAGTATTGTGACTAGTGTAGAGTGACTGCTGGAGCCTTATGTCTCCAGATAGTAGCCCTTATTTTTATTGAGGCTTCTATTTTTTCTCCATGTGCTGGCTTTAGGCTTAGCTCAAAATCATAATTTGTTTAGGGGGATCAGGGATGCTGACTGTGCTCAAGGTGCAAGTTTGTACCAGTGATCATACTGGCTTTTAGAACCATCCTCAGACCTCATGGGCCATTTTCCTCCCTTTTCATGCTCTTTCTACACCATTGCCCTCTGCCTCTCTGCTTCCCCTTTCTTTTTTATTCTCATTTTACAGGAACCCAGTGGGTATTGTGTAACTCTGCTGGTGGCAGACAGGTTCCTGATCCGTCTAGGGAACAATGCATGTGGAGTCGCTATTCCAGTGGCTCTGCTCTGCAGCTGAGCCCACTGATGTATGGAAGAATGGCCCATCTCCTGACCCCTAACTTTGGGCTGTCTTCATTAATTACAGTACGTTGATTTATTTATAAGCATCAGGTCTTTGCCTGAAAAATTCGGCCTCATCATCTGGGCAGCCCAGCTGGGGTCTGGCACTGAAGACATTCTAGCAGCTGAAGAATTCCAGTAATCTCCGCCTGTTCTTATCATTTTCAGTGTGGTGGAAATATGTGCACCAGTTATCTAACGATGTATAACATCTTCTCTGATATTGCTGAGATGATGACTTTCCTTACTAACAACTTTTTGGAGGATTAGTCCTTTTCTGTCTCCTTCAGTTGTCTGAAATAGTAAAATGCTCATATACCTCCAACAACTCTGGGACATGTTTGCCCTTTTGGTCTTGTTGCTAAGTCCATGCAGATCTCTCTGGAAGACCTAAAGAAGGGTCGTGAAAAATTCGGCCTCATCAACTGGGCAGCCCACCGGGGTCTGGCACTGAAGACATTCTAGCAGCTGGGAAGAAGGGAAAATGACTAAATGTCCCATTTTTAATTAGACTCCATTAATGACACTATTGTCATTTGCCTAAGTTTGATGCTTTGTGAATTTTTTCTTTTGTTATGTGGCATATTGCCACTTCCTTTTGTAGGTAGGAAGTCAGTTCTTGTATCTCATCTATATCTTTCACTCTCCTTTCCCCCTTAGGATTGAGAATCATGGCTGCAGGAAAGTTCGCAAGTTTTCCCAGAAACATGTCGGTGAATCACCAGTTCCCTCTGGCCTCATCCATGGACCTTCTGAGCAGCAAGTCCCCTCTCGCTGAGCATCGCACAGATGCCTATCAAGACGTGTCCATACACGGCACCCTTCCACGGAAGAAAAAGGCCCCTCCTCCCATAAGGTCCTGTGATAACGTCAGTCATCTGGGCACCCTCCCCCACTCCAAATCCCCATGGCAGAGCTCACCTCTGACCCAGAATGTCATCCAGGAAAACCTTTCACTGCAAGACTGTAAAGGTGAAACCTTCACCTTCAGGTGAGTCCTCTTAATTTCATGAGTGAAAGTGTTTTGTTTTAAAGGACTTTTAAAAAATTCTTTTCTTCAGGAATAATGTCAAACGTTAGACAATATTGAGAGAATAGTCAGTTATCTCCCATGAAACCACCACCTCACTTCAGCAATGTCAACTTGTGGTCAGTCCTGTTTTGTCTGTATTTCCACTCACTTTCCCACTGATACTATTGTGAAGCAGATCTCATTTAGAGATAAATTTGTCTATATTTTTGTATGTCTCTTTCAAAGGACTCTATTTAAAAAGTACTTAATCATTATGCAAACTGTAACACCTCCAAATTAACCATTCCTTAGTATCTAATATTTGAGAGAATTTTAAAATCCAACTTCCAGTATTATCTCTTAAAAGAAAGCACACTTTAAAGATAAGTTATAGCAACAATTTCTAAACTTATACACTCAATTTTACAGTGATGAGGATGTCTGTAAATTAGGACCTCTATCTTCTTACATTTCATTGTCAGTATGCTGAAATAAAATCTTGTGTGGATTCATTGTAAGGTCGGCTTCAGAATATGCTTGATTTCTCCTGGTCCATGCTGGGAATCTGGATAAATAAGCCTTTCACTCACACATGCTGTTTCTCTTTGGTTGTAAGATCCTGTCCATTATTGATTTCTGCCTGTTAAAGTTAGTTTGAAACTCTACAGTTTGTGACAGCTGTAAAGAATATGGCAGTTTCTTGTTATCTCTTTTTGTCCAACCTGTTAGTTACTTTGATCCTGGCTCATTTTTTTGGTTCAATATATATATTTTGAGTACCTAGGTTAATTAGAATATATGGATTTTATATGCCCAGAGTTTCACCAAGAAAGTTCTGCCCATTCATTCCATCTAGTATCTAAAATGAAAGGCTGATGCTGTGTTGAGGACGTTCTAGCAGTCAAATTATTGCAAATCTCTGCTGTTGCCCTTTCAAAAGGGAGAGGAAATGTGTAGACTAATAGGATACAATGGTGTATCTGAAGCAATGTCTTCCAGAACTTATATTCCAGTGAGTGATCTAAATGATAAATATAAGTAAATAAACCAACAGCCAATTATACTAAATACCATAGAAGAAATAGATCAATCTGTTGGAGAAATCAATTGATCTATTGGAGATTTATCAGGTATGGAGTTTTTGTTTTTGGTAGAGAGAACAGGGCTCTGAGGAGATAATAATATAAACCAGACTTGTATAGTAAAAGAAGGCAGCCAAGGCTCCTGGCACAAAGAAATCAAAAGCAAAGAATTAGAGTTGGGAACAAGTTAAGAATGAATGAAAGCCCCCAAAGGGAAGCTGGTGTGGCCTATGGCTGAAGTGTAGCAAGGTGACAGGAAAATAGTATAGAATAGTATAAATGTTGGTAGAGGGCCAGGCAGTCAATGTCCCACATTCATTTGAGTTTTACAATTGTCTTAGTGCAAGAAGAAAGCAATGGAGGTCAGAGATTCTCTGTAAATAGCATTAAAGAGCTCTTAAATGTTACTGACGTCAGATCATAAGGTTCTCCAAGGTACCTTTAAAAGTCAAAAGGCATTGGATCTACTCCACAGAATCTAGATGGGCAACTTCTCAGCTCAGAGAGGCAGCAGGTGACCTGCTGATAGAAAAGGTGAATGTGGAGGACATTCCTGTGTACAGTTCTGTTAATACCGTACCAGTGGTACTTATGGGCAAAGATGTGAAAGGTGAGCGGGAAAGACGGCATTCGGCCTCCCAAAAATGATTGCAAATGCCAGGCTGATGAGGTTGAGTCAGTGCTAACCGTTCCCTGGATCACTGCAGACCTCCTTTTATTTATTAACTTAAACTCTTCCTTGAGCTAGTATCTACCATGTACCAGACACAGACAGTTTGTAAGTGCACTCCTCAAAGCTCCGAGTTCTGGCTAGGTGCCAACTTCTCATAACGGGGAAGCTCAGCAGAGAGGGTGGCTGGGGGTGATGGTAATGGAATCACCCTTCTGTCTTAAGGAAGTTCTTTATAAACACCCCAAGTCAAGCTGCAAGCCTACCAGGAGTTCAAAGCTTTTAACTTTGAAGCTTTAAGCTTGAAAAGTGACTTGGACAGAGGTCAGATCTCTGTAAAAGATCTTATCGGAGGGTGGGTACAAGTTCTGAGTTTGAAGTCCAGGTTACGGAAGCCTTAACAAGCACTTCTGGATTAGAGTTTCCTTATGATTCAGAGGTACACTAGTCCAAATTTACATCTTTTTTTCCCCCTCAACATAAAATATCTTACCATTTAAGATGAACACAGGAAGTAACAAATGCATATTCTTCAAAAATTATGCTGAGTGAGAAGGGTGGGGGCTGTGTGTCAAAGGATTATAAAAGCCCTACCCCCTTAGTGTTGTTAATAATGTATTTATTTTCTTTACATGTTTTTTTTTTAAATCTCTCAGAGCCTTCCTGATTTTAAAGAGTTCAAAGTACTTTATATCTTATTTTTTAAAAATTTTCCTAGTAAGATTATGAACTACCTCATCTCCTTTTTGGAACAAGCTATGAAATAAGCAAAACAAAACAGCATGAGTAAGGATCCAAGGCTCTGGAAAATGAGGTTTTGCCTAAGACGCCATAGCAAAAATATGAGAAATAGAACATCTATTAGTAGTTTTTACAGCTTAAGAAACTCGGGAAGCACCATCTTCCCACTAAACTCTAGATCATGTGACACTTTTAATAGTGAATTCAGGGGTTAGTTTCAGGCAGCAGATTTCAAGCCTGAAAACCTTCATCTCATCACATTTGGTACTGTTATGATTATAGTAGGGTCACTTGGAACAGCCAGACCTTCTTTTTCATGTGTACCTCACCTACATTCAGAAAGGAACCGTTCAGACAATCATCTCTGTCTTACAAGTCTTCCCCTTATTCATAGTTCACTTCCTAAGGTTTCAGTTAGCTGTCCTGAGCTGCTGTCCAAAAATATTAAATGGAACATTCCAGAAAAAATAAGAATTCTTAAGTTTTACATTATGTACTATTCTGAGTAACATAAAGAGATGGGGCTACCTTCTGCCCTATCTCCCTTTATCTAGCAGCAATCCACACTGTATATGCTACCCACCTGTTAAGTTACTTGGCAGCCCTCTTGTCTCGTGGTATGGTTGTGGTTGTGTTGAAGTAACCTTTATTTTGTTTAATCACGGACCCCTGAGTGAAAGAGTAATGATATCAAGCAATTGGATATGTCAAAGAGAAGCCACTTTAGTGTTTTTAAGTGAAAAGGTAAAAGTTTTCCACTCAAGAAAGAAAAAAAGTATGCTGAGGTTTCTAAGATCTATAGGATATTATTATATTGATTCTGTTTTATTATTGTTGTTGATAATCTTTCACTGTGTCTGATTTATAAATTAAACTTTATCATAGATATGTAATTATTAAAAAAAACATAGAATGCATAAGGTTCAGTACTATCTGGTCCAGGTGTCTGTTGGGAGATTAGCAGGAGCTCCTGTACTGTTATATGTTGCAAGTTTGCTATTTTCCCAACAAATATGTTTAACTTGTTAATCACTAAAAAAAACCCCACCTTTATTATAACTGACTATGAATTGAACATCCACCCTGTGGCAGGCCCAAGGCAAAACAGAGGAAGTCTCCCCTTTGACCTAAACATTTTCACTGCTAAGTATCATATCCATGTATGTCATATCCTCCTGAATTAACACTGCTTACATTTTATACTTTAAAAATATCCCACAGGATATGATCATAAGTTATCTTGAACATCATAACCCTGTGTAAGAGACATGACATTTCATTATCATAGTCATCACCACCACCACCACCCCATCATCTCATCTAAACAGTTAGGAAAATAGGTTCAGGACTGTTGAAATGCCCGAGATCACACCTTGGTGGATAACCGCACTAGCGTAAGAACCCAGAAAGTCCTATAGGGGCTTCCTTCAACACTGTGCCCCTCAGACAGCCTCCTGAGAATGTTGGTGCCAGCTATGAGCGTCCTCTGAGCTCTTCCTGCATGGAAGCCGTCAATCTCCTGTCTGAGTCCAAGGCCTCAGACACCCCCTCTGGGGAGAGTAGAGCCTTGGTTGCTAAGAGCCAGGCATAAGGCAGTTCTGGAAGGGGGAACTGGTCTTCTCTTTCAGAGACTGTATCTCTTGGCTTTCTTGTTGTCTTGGCTGCCCTTGGATGTACTTGTGGTTTTGAAAGTTGGCCAAAGCCAGAAGCTCTTAAACCTGCTGCTTGATGTCACAGAAGGAGCCTTTGTTCTGAAAGCAGAGCCAGGGTTCTTGAGAGGCCTGCAGACAGGATTTCCTCTTAACATTAGCGTTGTTCAGCTCCTGTCCTTTTGATGCATTTATTTTCAAGGATGAGCTTGTATTTGCATCTGGACTCTTCCTTGGGCTAAACGACACTGGTTCCTGTCGGGATGTCTATGTTGCCGGGATGTCTGTGTTGCCGAGATGTCTGTGTTGCTGGCACAGCCGAGAGAGCTGCACTTGGAGGCTATTCAGGTCCTTTTCCTGCCTGTGGGTATGTGGAGGCATGCATTCCTGGGAACAGCTGCAAGGGCCTAATTTCTTCTGCCTCTTGTGCTGTGGGAGCATGTGGTGGGACAGTGTGCTGTTTCATTAGTTTGCATGAAGAGAGCTGAGTGACTTGTCACAAATGTTGTAGCTAACAGCGGCCAGAAAGTCTGCAGAATTATTTCTAATGCAAATCTAGTGTACTTTCCCAGGCGGCGAGTAACCTGTAGTGTCAGATCTTTAAAGTATAAGGCACAGGATCTGTGCAGACTGTTCTCTAAAACACTAATTCAAAGATCTGACTCTGGCCTGTATCAGTGCCCTCATCTGAAAAATTGTTTCAGTTGTTTCTTTTCAGAACCACTAAATTTTATAACTACTGATTTCTCTTTAACAAAGCAAGATGTTGCCCAAGACATGCAAATAAACCAGACTTTCGCTCACAGTTTATCAGAAGACTCTACAATATGCAGGTCTACATGCAAACATCTGTAATTTATTTAGATGTGGTCATGTCTGCTGTCTGCAAGTTGGAAGCTTTTGATGTACAGAGGGAAAATTGCTCAGGGTTTTAAAAAATCTGTTTGATACATTACTAGATTTATTTAGCAGACGATGTGTTTACGGTTAGCAGGGTGTCAATGGCTTTTTAATAGCTCTGATTTCAAGAATGTCTTTAGAAAGTAGCAGACCATGAGGTGGACTTTTATCTTTTTAAATTGCAAGTTTTACTGACATTTGGAAGTATTTGAATGCAGCTGTTATAGATGAGTCTATGAATTTTGAAGGGTGCATGTCCTGGCTGTGGTGGCCTCTGGTGTACTGAGGCCAGGAACAGCTGGTTCAGGGGTGAACGGAGCCTTGTGTGAATGGAGGAGTGTAGAGAGGAAGAAATGCTTGCAGGTCTACCGGCTGCCTGATGGTAGCCCTAAATCCTCTACTGACAGGGCTGATTTGAACCAAAAGCTGGGGTCCATGCATTCTCAGCTGTTCTTCTAAGGAAAACCAAGAGATTTAAAAAAAAAAAAAAAAACCAACTGATTGCAAACCACAGTGAGAAAAACGATCAGCAAATTATACAATGCTGTCCTTGTTGAGCAGAGCTGCTGAGCATGTCCTCCCCTCCCCCGAGAGACCTGCTTTAACTCATGCTTTTTCAGGCCTCCCACATGCTATTTAGGAAAGGGCAGATCTGAAGTCTTCTGAGTTGTTCACACACACACCCTACATGTTAAAGAATATCATAAACAGTTCTATGCAGTTACTAGTTACTACTCATGTTCTTGTACTAGTTACTACCATGTTCTATGCAGTTACTAGTTACCACCCATGTAGATTTGGAAGCCCAGTCTGACCAGAATGTGTGTGGTGAAGAAGTCCTGGTTGCTTTTGTTGATTGGAAGGAGATTGTCCCCAGGGGGTTGGACAGAGTGACCAGACTGGCTTGAGTCACATGGCCAAAACACATTCACATCATAGCCACTCTGCTTGTTTGTGATGGTCACCACATAGTCTGGCCCCAAGGGATTAGCTATAGGATCGGAGGCAAAATGTCCAGGTCTTTCTTTGCAAACAAGTGCATATGGTCTTGTTTGAAGAATCATGCTATTTTGTGTAAGTGACAGAGATCTGAGAGACCCTTTGTAATTACTCTAGCCTTTATGCATCCTCAACCATGTATAGTTCCAATTGTACCTGAAAATACAGCACCAAAAGTAGAATGCTTTTTGTGAAGAGGAGAAGAAAAGCCCAGGAGACAAGTAAACCATAGGTTCTAATTCAGACCCCTTTTTTGGTGCTTATTTTAGATGTATGACCTGGGCAAATTCTAAACTATAAAATGAGGGTAAAAATACCCCCCTGAGAAGCGCTGGAAAAATTAATCACTGAATATGAAAGTCCCACCTAATGTAAACACTCTGACCTTCATACCTGAGCCTGGTTCACCTTCTAGGAACCTGAGCGGGTTGGAATCTTATGAGCAGAGTGCTTCCTCTTAACTCCCACCTGATCTCCAGCAGTTTACGCCTCGGCTACTCAACTCTGCTGGGCTGCCTGATCCTGCAGGTCATTAGGGCATTGTTGGCATGTTGATATAGTCATGGCTGTCAAAGAAAGCTGCTGGTGATCTCATGCTGATTTGAACCAGACATAGCTTTGTGACCTTGGGTAAGTTATTTTATGTTTCTGAATCTCCATGACCTCAGAAGGTGGCTCAGGAAAACAAATGCAATGGTGCCTTGGTTTACAAACTTAATTTGTTTTACAATTTTGGGGAGGACGGCCACGGTTCCATGGTTGTACTTATCACCCAATGTGGAGTTTGTAAATAGAAGCAAAACTTTACTGGTTACTTTTATTTATGAACTGAATTGTTTCCAAAAGAAGCGTTCATGAACCAAGGTATTACTGGGCAAGCACATGTGAAGGTGCCTAGCACAGATGTTGGTGAGGAGAAGGGGCTCAGACTGATTGGTTTCCTTCCTTCCTCCTGAGACAGAAGCTAGGAGGCTCCTAATCCTCCTGTGCAACTTGAGATCACGTTCAATGCCTGTGTATTCCCGAGGAGAAAGTTTCCCACATGTTGGTGGAGTCTGGCTGGAATCCCTTCATCTGGGTTTGTACTACTTGAATACATCTTGGTCAACACTCAGAATTTATGAGTACTGCAACCACACAGGATCCTAAAATATTAGTGTGCCATTGTATTAATTCACAAAGCAGAGCCTACCTGTCTTCAGTGTGCTGACTCAACCCCTGACTGTTTATTCTTGTACTGAATGTCACTATCTTTTCTGTTTATTGTAGGCACCTTTGTTAAGCTGGTTTTGTGCCAGACATTGTGCTGGGTACTAGGTACCTGGTGGAGAATGATAGATATAGCCCATGTCCTGAGGGAGCTCCCAGGCTAGGGAGCCCTGGGACAAATGCATTGATACAGCAGTGCAATGCAAGGAGATGTGAGGAAGATACTATCAGAGGGGGGTCCTGACTTTCTTAGACTGGAGGAGAAGACTTTTGAAGGTATATAAAGAGAATATATTTTGTTAATAATTTTTATGTTACTATGTGTTGAAATGATGTCTTTGAAATAGTAGGTTAAATAAGATATTAAAAAAATTTTTTTTGTCTTTTTCCTTTTTATTGGTACCGGGGATCGAACTCACGACTGCCTGCTTACAAGGCAGGCGCTTATGCCGCTGAGCTAAATCCCCAGCCCCATAAGATAATAAAATTAACTTCACCTAATTTTTCTTCTCATTTTTAGTTGGCTACTAGAAAATTCGAAATTATCTTACATTGTATTTCTTTTGGACAGCACTGGTTTAGACTTGGATAATGAGTTTGGATTTTCTCTGTTAGGCAAATGAAAACTTTTAAAAGGCTTTCACTGAGAGATTGCATGATCAGTTTGGAGTTTTAGGAGACTGAAACTCCAGTCTCTTTGTGGAGACTGATTGGGAAAAGGGTTAGGAGGGTCCAAGAAGTGGTTGGTTTTAAAAGCACAGAGAACAAGTGGGAGTCTGTTCATCAGTGAGGACAGAGGAGACAGGGATTCAAGATACATTTTGTGGATAGAGTCTACCAAATGTACCAAGGGTGGACATGGTAGAGGGAGGGAGAGGAATAGTCAAGCCTGGCTCTAGCAGCTGGAAATGGGTCGGTTGGGGCCATTTACAGATGGGAAGATTGGGAAAGAAACAAAGATTTATTGGTTTGGTTGATTCCTTTTCCTTGGAGGAGGGTCGACTAGATCTCTGAGAGTGCAGACCTCTGTTTAAGATGTGCACAGTCTGAGATACATGTGTGTCTCAGTGGCCATCCTAGCCAGATTTGTGTTGTGAGCCTGGAGCTCTAGAGAGATCAGGTCTGAAAGGTGAAACGTTGGGAATCTGAGCTGTTTTGGTGGCACACTGGAGACTGGGCCAGGACTGCAAGTTTGAGCTCAGGTTGGGCAAGTTAGTGTGACTCTGTCTCTCAAAATAAGATCAAGAGAGGAATTGATTAGGGGTCTGCACAGAAATGAGTTTAAAACAATGAAAGCAGATGCATCACTAAGGGAGAGACTTGGGTGAAGCGAAGGGTGAAAGCTGTGAAAATTCTCAGCCTGGTGCATTCAAAGATTAGCAAAAAATAGAGTTTGGGAGCAGAGAAATGATGTAAGACCTGGGTAGGGTTGGCATTCAAGGGAAGTTTTCGGTCTTGTTTAAGTTTTTGAAGATGATAAAACTTAGTAGGAAAGATCTCATCTTTTGAGATTGTCAGAAAACAAAGCACATTTTTGTATTCATTGATTTAAAACCTTTTATTTGAATAAGCAGACATGTCCCTAGGGCCATCCTCCCTGTGGGCCTGTATTATCAGTATGATGATTATATTTCTCTAGTAGGTCCCAGTGGCCCTTATGGCACTGCAGACCGAGGAGGTACGTGGACACTGCATAGGCAGTAAGGTTTTTGCCTTTCCAAAGCTTATTAGACAGGCAGTCCTGTTGAGAACAGAACTTGCTATAGAAGGCTGTTCAAAGGCAGATGTCCTTGCATTTGGCTGACTGAGGCACTTGCTCTTTGAGACCTGGAGGATAGTATATCAAAACCTTAGGGCTTTTATTCTGCCTTAAAATTAACTGGAGGAAACCTTGACAAACATACTGTTTTAGAAGGGGATAGGGAACATTGGG